CAAAACGACCAGTCAGGTCGTTATAATTTCTCCTACGGGAAGCGGTGATTATTGTTCCTCTATATGTAGATTTAAGAAAACTGCCATCAACAATGACGATTGGTTTACAATAATCCTACCCTTTGATCGATGCATAAATAGCTACAAATAAATATAAGAATGATCCATCATCAGAATTGATCAAAATCCCTTCGACATCAAATTTAACATATCTGCGATCGTCTTACCATACTCCATTGTATTGAATCAGAGTTGGTATATTCACAATTGTTTCTTAGAGTACAGTATCTTACTTTAAGTATATCAAGATGGAGAATCAGAAAGAGACACAATGGAAGAATCAATACCTTTTTACGAACTACTTCTATGTAGTACCTATTTTTAGGGAATATGAAGCGTTGGTTATGAGGTAATGTTGTAGTAGTAATCTAGTATGTTTATAGTGATAATCAATACTTAACAAATTGGAGAATATTTAGGGAATAACTATACGTTTCAGATTTCCATTCCCCCTAAATAGAAAATTTGCCATATTTTTAGAGTTTATCTTTTATATATGTGTTGTACAATTTGTAATTCAAAACCAAGTTGTAAATTATGGAATATTTAACAAATCCTTAAGTAATTATGAAAATTCCCCCTAGTTAATACTTCCAGTGACTGAGAGACAAATATAAAAGGCTTTTAGGTTGAAATGCATCAAACTACAAATTCAGCAGCCAAAGAAGACACAAAAAGATAGTGCTACACAAAACAACTAATATATAGAGGAACTTATTGAGTCTATGTTATATAAGTAGAGGAGTTTGAATCTCAATATGTGTTAGTGTTATCATAGTATGACTTCAGCGCAAAAAGGCATACAGAATCGGATGTTAAACTCTTCCATGACTATGAACAGGTCCATAACATAGAAAAATCTTGTCTAAAGCAACATATCCTTGAAAAGTATAATACCTTTGCAATAACATCTTTTTTCCTTCATTCGACCGAGCACAATCCCAATATTTTAGTTCCCCTTTTAACTGCAATATGCTTGCAATATATATCATTTAACACTATACAATACATATGAATAAAAATAGTAGAAGAAAATAGTTTGCACTTACGAAAAGCTAACCAAAGTCTGTTCTGTAATTCTATACCCTCCAATGTGACTAACTATATATAGAGAAAATATTTATCCAAGGAAAAAAACATAAAAAAATATATTAAGATTTATAAATGACATGCTTCGGTATTAGAACCAAAGCTTTTCATTATGTATCAATGCACAAATTCAAAGATTCATTTTTCTGGCACTTCACTTTACAATTTTCAAGAAAAGAAACAAAATAATTGCAACATCAATCTGACATCTCTGGTAAGTCAAACGCTTGATCTAGACACTACTTATTTTTTTTTAATTTCTATATTTTTTGTGAGTAAGTTATTCTTCTTGCACTAAATTAAAGTAAATAGAAATAAAGTATTGCAAAAATAAGAAATAATTTATAATAGATAATCAAGCAATGCCTGCCAAGTACCAGTTACAACTCATATTAAGGACAACTTTCAAAAGACACCTAATTGCTGAAGCCTAATTAACATTGCCTTAAAAAGAAGCCAAGACCCGATAACTAATGTCAGGATAAAAATTAGGCACAATAGATCGACAACTCCTTAAAGTTATCTTCACTTTTCACTTAAACACTTCATCTTAAGTATGTTCCATTTGAACACTTTATCCAGGCTTTTACTGTATCATTTAGACACACAAATTGATAGGCAATCAAACAAGATGTGTATAATTCACATGCCAGAGTGACGAATAAAACGGGAACACGTGGATTTAACTTAAATAAATGAAAAAAAACTTCTGAAAAAATAAAGAAAAAAATTACAAAAAAGCTCCGTTCTTCACACCGCACCAAAAGCCCTTTCTTCATCGGCCGACACTGGCATTTCTGGCAAAGTACCACCAGCAAATTATACCCGGTTAGCACAAAGAGATTCATGAGCCTACATGGGCAACAACAACAAACAGCCGCACATTTTACCGTCGTTCCATCAGCAACCTCTGCGAACCGCACCCCTTCCGAACCCCACCTCGTGATGACGAAGCTTGGCCCGATAAAAGTGGTTGCCGCCGCCGTTCCACCGAAAGTGATGACAGTCCACCGATAAAAGTTATGACGGCGAAATCGTGGCTCAATCCGGAGATTTACCATTAAAAATTGGAAGAACTTGAAACGAAGAATCGAAATTTGAAACCTTCGATTTGTTGATGTTTTGGTTAAATGAATATTGGGGTTTGCTCTTAACATCAATATGAACTTACATGGTGCAGATCTATGTTTGAAGCTAGTTGGATTTGAAGCACCATTGCCAACCGTTGAAGGAGCTGGGTCAATTCAGATCTATGTTTTTCGAATATTTACAAAGTGGGTATTGTTTTATTTTGATGGAGGATTAAATTTGGAACCCATTTGAGGCTGAATCGTTGATGTCATGAAGCTCAATGGCCTAGAAACAGGAAATGATATGGACAATGCACCTTTTTTTTTAATCTCTGCCTCCTTTTGAATTGCTGAGGAACGCTTTTCCGGCAAAAATTATTTATTTTCCGGCGAGAAGTATGAGGCATTTGTTTTTCGAATCATTTCACGCGCATAAAAAATGTGAGAAATACTTACTTGCCATGTAAGTTTTTTGTGTCTAAATGACACGGTAAAAGTCTGGATAAAATGTTCAAATGGAACATATTTAAAGAAAAAGTATTTAAGTGAAAAGTGAGGACAACTTTAAGAGGTTGTCGATGTATTAAGCCTAAAATTTATTTAAATCCAATTTAGTCATACATAAAAAGTTATCTATTTGTATGAGGAACTCAATAAAATTCACCTTCCATGAACTAAAAGAAAATGAAGGGAAAAAAAAGAGAAGTATAGTAATAGAGGAAAAATTTATCAGAAAATGAAGTGAAAGAAAAGAAAAGTTAAAAGCAACAGAGGAAGAAAAAGATTATCAAGAACATCATGAAAGCAACAAACTGGCGACACAGTAAATTAATTATCAAAGAACATAAAAAATAGCAAAAGCTAAAAATATGTATAAACCTCAAGCAGCAAGAAATAGACACTACTCATTTTATTCAAATAGTATAACAGAAATATGATTGACTTGTATATTACCTGGGCCAAATAATGGAAAAAGGAAAAACTAAACATAAACATTTCACTTCAACGTTTTAGTTTTCATTTCAATAGTCATTTTCCTACCCATTTTGAAATATCCATCACTGTTCCTCTTCATCTCTTAATTCTCTATTATTGTACTTCTAACCTACATTCTCTTCTTTTTTCTTTTTCACTATTCTATCCCATAAATGTTTCAATCAAGTAAAAGATAAATAAATAAATTTCATAAAAAATGTCAAAAAACTAACATGTTACTATAATTTTAGAGACTTGTACTTCCCAAAATATCAACCTAGTCATTTTACATCATATTTGAGTTACATAGCAGTAGTAAATACGCACAATTTCGTGAATACTGTTGAACAAATCTTTTCTTTTGAACTCGTAAAGGTCTTTTCTTTACCTGAGCAGACCCAATATTAAGATCAGCCTTGTCCATCTTCCAGAAGGAAAGCTCCAGTATGAGAGCTTCTCCTTTTCTGCTATGTACCGATACATTTATTAGTTCGGGGTCATGCATCCAAAATTACATAGTCTAAAGAAAACAAATAATAATTTGAGGGATACTAATTGGCCGTATAAACATCAAGAAAAGCGCCAATTAGCATTAGAACCATTAGTTAACAAAATCTCCACCACAATTATTGAAACCTCCATTACAAACTTTTAGCCTTTAATGCCATATTGCCTACGACATTTTCAAATTTAACACCTTATGGTAAAGTTCCTCACTGAGATTTTTTCTTGTTGATCTTTCATGTGCAGTTTCTCAAGTTAAATCTTTCAAATGCAAAAATCAAAGAGTAAATAATATACGTATATCATTGTATGTCAAGAAAGAGTAGAAGATCTTGTTAATGCTATGTGATTAAAGGGAACATATTTCCATAACCTACAGAAAAGTCAAAGAATAGTCTTTTTAAAGAAACCCAAAAAACAAGCATCCAGTAAAAATACATACCAAAAATGTCGAATTCAACTCTCAAGTAAACAACACAGTTCTTCTATTTAAGACATTATCAAACACCTTGGTTGCATGAGAGATCTTGTTTGTTTCTTCACCATTTTTGTCCTATATGAAAATTCATTATACCCAAATCGTGTTTAAGCCTCTGCAGAAAATTTTCCAACAAAGATGTGCAAATCAGACGTACACAATGGAAGAAATCACCAGAGAGAGTAGTGAATAAGAGATACCCGTCAAATACCCATTACCAACACATGGGTGCAACTAACAAAGAAAGAGTGGAGAAAAATTCTGCAAAACTTCGAACGAAATATAGCACACACTGTAAAAAATTGGAGAAATTTTAAAGGAAACTCAAAAAATAAGGCTAGAAAGTGTAAAAAAAGAAACAAAAATTGGAGAAATTTGAAAGGAAACTCAAAAAATAAGGCTAGAAAGTGTAACAAAAGAATCAGAGTATACAGAATGCAAATTTGGGATGTGAAAGTGGAATGCACATATATTCAAAAGGGAACTAATTAATTAGGATCAAATTTAGAAGTAAACCCAAATTCCATCAGTATGGTCTTGAAACTTAGGAAATGATATTGAAAAAGAGAGAAAGAGCTAAGAGAAAGACACGAAAAGCTCAGTTATATTTACTCCTGGGCTTGGTTGGGAAATCGAAAAGACAATTCTAGACTGAAAGTATAAAGATAATTTTACCCTTGGTCGACCACACTTGCCCCTTCTATATAATAGATAATAGAAAATAAAATAAAAAGGGCAGCCTAGTGCACAATGCATCCCACGTTCACACCGTGCACAAGTCCACTTTTATTAATAATATAGAGCAAAAAACAAAACAGCAAACATTAACAAACCAAGCCAAGAGTAGTTTAAGATCTTCACAATTCCATCAGATGTCCTACAATTAAACACTCAAACTAAGGAAACCTCAATCCATCAAGCCTAAAATAACTTAGTTCTCACTTTGGTTGCTCATGTTACACACCAGAGAAGCTCCTGTGATGAAAAATACAATCAAAGTGAGCTTTCTCATAAATCAAATCATTTAGAAGGAAATCAAACAACAGTCAAGCTAAACATCTATGTCAACCCACAGAAAGCAAACAAATCGATTTGTACAGTAATATTCCAGTAAAGGGAAAGCTTGCTATCACAAAATCACGATCCCTTGGCCAATTTTTGTGCACTCATGAGGCTTTTAGTCAACCATATTGCCGTCTCTCTAGATGAAATTACATCATCGCCAAATGGTTTTAGCACACCAGCAAGCTCATCAATTTTTTCCTGCTTAAGTAGTCGTGCACAAACCTCTAAAAGGGATTCCAGAGCTTCAGCTCTTTGTTGAGTGGGATTTTCCCAGTCATTTTTGTGCTCAGCTAATGCAGCTAGCGCCTTAAGCAGTGAAACCCTATCATCTAGTGCTTGAAGAGCATCTTTATCGGTCTGTTTAGCATCTTCAACCATATTTCCTTTCTTTTCTATGTCATCTTTAAGTGGGGTTGAACCATTTCTTTCAGAAGCATTGCAGTCATCATCAACTTCTTTGAACTCGCCAACGTTTTCAGTTTCAGATGCATGACACCTTAGTTCAGCATCAGTATCAGATTTTGCAGGTTGCGTAGTCGATGAAGTGCTCTCTTCGTCAAAGGACCGTGTTTTCTCAGTGGAGCTTCCACTAGACGAAATCACTCTGCTCGGCTTTTCGGAGATGCAATCTAGTTCATTCAGGTCTGCTTCTCCACTGCCACTTGGAGTGCTCAACACCTCAAGGTCTTTTGTTTTGTCACTCTCCCCGTCACCTTCTTCAAATTGTTGAAAATGCTCAACAGAAACTTGCTCAGTGTTTGCCATGAATCTTGAAGATTCTGGCGTATTTGTACTTCCTTCTTGCAATAGAGAGTCGGATAGACCGTCTCCGTTGCAAATAGCTTCCTCACTAGTGTCCCAACATTTAGAATCCGCACCATTTACAAAGATCTTTGTTGAGTAGCTAGTGGGATCAACTCTCTTAGTCTCGAGTTTGGCTTTAAAAGTGTCATAGTTGTCTGATAAATTTCGTGGCCGAATGTTGTCACTTTCATCAAAGTAAATAACGGGGACCTTCTCTTTTAGCCTTAGAGGTTTGTCACTTTCATCAAAGTTAAAAACAGGAACCTTCTCTTTTAGCCTTAGAGGTCTGTCTTTTATGAATCTAGGACTGCCAGATTTTCCAGGTGATTGCTTTGTTTTTTCCTTTGGGCTGTTTGGGGACTTCACTGGAAGAAAAGCAGATGAAGGGTTGCGGCAGCGAAGGAGGTATGGTTGCAAATGTTGATGCCTTAACAACTCCGCAGTCTAAAAGTGAACATAAAAAAAAAAAAAAAATCAGAAAGAATGATGATTTCAGATTGAATTGCATTGAATATATGCAGCTAGCACTCACTGTTGGTCTGTGTTCAGGGCTTTTCCTTAGCATGCTTTTAATAATCTGTTTCCTGTAAGGATTAATCCATTTTGTCAGTTTGATGATTAGCTGTATTTTTGTGGTTAGAATAACAATCACAAGTGCTAGTAGTAGGAAATAGGAACCACTTCTTAACAATGGTTGGAAGCTACTTACAAGTTGGAGGAGTATATAATTGGAAGTGGCGATAAAGTACCCCTGTTTATTTTATTGATAAGTCCAGTCATGTCCTGCAGAATAAAAAAAATTCAATATACCGCACAAATATATTAAGGTAATGAATGTATTATGACGTCCACAGGTAGCTAAGGTCAACTTACTGGAGCTCTAAATGGTGCTTGGTGTGCGGCAATCTCAAACATGCAGCATCCTACAATCACATCAAACTTTTATTCCAATATTAAGGAAATAATACAAAAGGAAATACATTGCTTCCCCCAATTCTCTTACCAAGAGACCATATGTCGGATTTGTAGCCATATGGTATATCAGCAAGGAGCTCAGGGCACATATAGTTTGGAGTACCAACAACCTGTTTGGATGGAACAAGTCACTAATAGAGCTTGTTGGCAGAGTAAGAAGTCATAGCATGTTCCTCAAACAAATGAAGACGGGGTTGTTTGTAATTGACAACTGCCGTAATATAAAATTCACTACAAGATGGCATACTATATTATAACTAAAAAGAACACCTGGTTTTCCCAACCTTGGAGGGGGATGGGGTACCCTCTATCTAGTAACTACTTAAACATATTGAATCATTTGTGTAGGTGATCATAGTTCGTTGCTAATAAGCAGGAGCTGATTTTTCCACTACAGTTGTATGAATATAAAGAGAAATCATACTGAGGAAGCAAGGCCTTCTCCATCTAGAAGTTTTGCTAATCCAAAATCACCTGCATAAATAAAGTGAAAACAAATTTGATCACACATAACAGAGAAGCAAGGAGGTAATGAAACACTTGGCTGTCATTCTTACCTAGCCGGATGTCATTGTCCTTTGTGATAAAAATGTTAGATAACTGAAATCGAAGTAGTTCATGTTAAAACATGTCATACTAGGAAAGCTCATAAACAGATCAGGTCCTGTTTATACCTTCACGTCTCTGTGTAGAACACGGTTGGAATGCAGATAATCCACCGCCAGTAATAGCTGAGTCAGCCATTTGCAGAGTTTCTGCGGAGGAAAAAGATTGTGAGCACATAACTTTAAGTGAAACATGCTAGTACAGAGAACCCATTATGATGGAAGTTGTATCTAAACTACCTCTTCTGGGAAGAGAGCTCCTCTTGACTTCCTTATGATCTTTGCCCTGATCACCCAAAAAAAGTCAGAGTGCTCGTATCAGACGATAAAACATTCCTATGATCATCTTATTGCTTTCGCTCTTTTTATTTAGGAAGAGGTGTCTAAAGATTCTTCATATACTTGCATCAAAGGCTAGTTCACCTCTATAAATATGTTTCAACCATCTTTTGAAAGAAACGTATAAGTGCAAATAAGGAAATCGTCTAAAAATGCTAGCAGGTTAGGATAACCACTCACATATCTCCACCTTCACAATAGTTGGTAACGATGCATATAGAGTTCCCCTGAAAGAAAAACAAAGTCAAGCCTTTTCTGAGCCAACTCGATGTGGAAATTTTTTCAAATGAAGGATAGTTATTGCAGTTTCAAATCCTCTGCTAGAACTGAATAACATAATATACCTTGTCGACCCAAGCATCCTTGTACTCCACAATATATGGATGGCTTAGCTTAGCTATCAGATTCATCTGCCATAGAACGAAACATACAAGCATATAATCAGATAACATAATATTATACAAACATCTCAACGTTGTTAAAATCGTCCCATTTTAAGTGGCCTAATTTGACGAGAATACTAAATTAATAAGATAAGTTGAATGTGTGCAGGTTCAAAGGTAAGATTTTTTTTTATCGGTAAAGGTAAGAAAAAAGTTTAACTCTTCAATTACTTAACTTTTCTTGACTACAATGACTATTTTTCTTCTAAAAGTAAAAAGGCATCGTCGGTACACTATCTATTCGTTACCATAAACTCAATAGTATCAAAGGCTGCAACAGAAGGCTTGCTTATATAGGTCAACCCAACTTTGACAGGATAATGGCCACATAATTAGAGCAAAGGGAATATTTTTTTGCGAGACCTTCTGGCTTATAAAGTTCTTCACAAGAACATTTTAGGAGTAGGCACCAAATTTTATAAGTATGAAAATGTGCTCCACGTCCTAAAAGAAAGCGATTGTAGCATTTACTAATATCCAGAAGTAGCAAAATTTACATATAATTTTCCAACCTAAGAATTTCCTTCAACTAAGGTCTGAAATTGCTAACCTTTGCTATGAGATTTTGGTTTGGATGGTCACACTCACAATAGTTTTCTACTTTTCTTCTCTACCAAAAATTATGGAAAATATCTGCTTCTAATATCGCTGAAGATCTTCTCCAATCTGCTTAACCATATGGTCTAACTAATCATGATTCAATTACTAAGGAAGACTGCTCAAATAAGAAAGGGGTTTGAAGAGTAAGACTGCCCCTTCAAATGTACAAGAGTAAAATAGTGAAATGACACATCTGTGGTATGAGAATGATGACCAATGCCATAGCATTTGTTCAAAATTCCGTAATTACTTCTTGGTTAAGCTATAGAATATGTGCTCTTATTTTTGTACGCCCAAATTAACAAAGTTCTACTGTTGAAGAAAATTTTGCCTTTTATTATGAACCGAACTTGTCTTAGTGACATCCATGACCAAAGACCAATTCAAAATGGATGATTAAGGAAATGCTTAGCTTAAATATTTGGAATATCTATCTCATAGTAGAAAGCAAATGCAGCATTTGGAAAAAAATTAGGTTTGAGGACTGTAAGGCAAGGACATTGACGGCTGACAAGGAAAGACGTGCACAAGAATCTAAGACAACTGATTTATTGGCGTCAATTAGACCCTCAAGATATTGGAAACGAAACACAAACTATCGATGATAGATACCACTTCTGAGTCTTTATGATGGAACACTTTTGTATAGTATAGGTTCTTGAGCCGAGGGTCTTTCGAGGTAGGGGTAAGGGCTACGTACACTTTACCCTCCTGAGACACCACTAGTTGGATTTCACTGGGTTTGTTGTTGTTATTGTTGTTGTTGTTGTACTTTTGTATAGTATAGCTTTCCAATATCAAATCTAAAAGGATCATTAAAACAGGCAACCTAACATTAGGTTGCTCAATTTAAGCATTGAATCATGTACTTATGCATTCAATAGTGAGCTGAAGGCTTCTGATCAACCAACCTCAAAATTAGGCAATCTAGCCTCAGAATGAAGAAAAGATTGACTACCGTTTGATTGTAAAAGCCATACAAAAGAAAACAATATAAAGAAGCATTTAAAATGACCTCTTGATGTGCAGTACGCTTGAACTTCTCTGACTGCTTTGCTAAAGGTATCTTCTTCAGAACATATCTAAAAGGAAAATAATGATAGTGATATCAATAGTCCATTCAAAACAGTCTTCAACAATTATTACCAGTCTCAATAATTTGAATATTCTACACAAGGGATTCAGTACTACATAGAACATGTAGCTCAATCAGAATACGGGTAATTTACAGTTGTATAATTATGTTTTCATAATTAAAGCCAACTACACAGTCCATAAAAGCCAACATAAATTCTCACTTTAAAACTGCAAATGCAGCTAAATATTAATTATTGGTTTCTGTCTATGAGTACCTTGTTGCCAGTATAAATCACTTCATCTTGAATTTCTTTGTTTTCTGTTACATTATGAACACTGAAAGACTAGAATATTAAAAGAAGATAAGATCTACAACAGCACATAACAAGTTTCCTTTACATGCTTTAAGTAGATAGAAACACTCCATCAAGACAATTATTTTTTGTATTCTTGATGACCGAGAAATCCGTCTAGGTCCAACCCTAAGGACCTAAGGACGAAACACAGCCTTCGAAACTCGGAGATAATGGGCCCACGCCTCAACATTTTTACTACTATTAAACACCAGGATTAGTTCGCATGCCACAGGGCTCGAACCTTTGCCACTTGAATTAAGCCCCCGGGGCCACTCCATCAAGACATTTTTTTATTAAGAAAGAAGCATAATACAATTAGTTCTTGAAATTGATAAAAAGTGAGTATCCATCTCAAACAAGCTACATATTAGAAGTTTGCTCCTCGGAATCCCAGCAAATGCATTATTACCATAAACAAGTTTTGCAAATACCAACACAAAGCACTATCCCTCAAAAAAATAGTAGTAGTAACTAAGTATATAAATTCTGAGAAATGCTTTTTTTCAAAACGCCTAAAGAAGCAAAAATCTATGAAATCTAAAACCACATATCTCCCTTACCCCAAAATTGAAAAGACAAGAAAAGGTTGGCTAACCAGGAAGCATTACTTCCAATAAACCAGAAACATAGGAAAAATTAAATTTGCTTACTTCTTCTGCTCAGTTATATGAAGAACAAGAAATGCTGCACCAAAAGCTCCTCTTCCAATTTGCTCTATCACTTCATAATCATCTATCTTTGACTTGCTACCATTTTGTGTCTCCATTCTACCCTCAAACTCAAAAGGGTCAACGAAAATACAAACAAAGATTCAAGCTTTTTTGCTAATTGAACTGGTTCTTGAACTCACCCAACTCAAACCTGAGACAAAATATTTCAGGGTCAACACTAGAAATTCCTTTCAGAGATGCAAGTAAAAGCAAAAGGCAAATCTTTGGTCTTGCACCCTTAAGCAGAAATTAAGGAAAAGATGACATTCAAAGTTGGGTTCTTTGAAATAATGAAAGGCTGTTTAGGAATGGAATTTGCATAAAAGCTACACAAGGCTATAATGATGTCAAGCTGCAACAACTATGTGTACGTGTGTGTGTGAGAGAGAAAGACAAGAAAGAGGGCCCACGGAGCAGAAAGAGGAAGGAGGGTTGGTTGGGCCTTAAGATTTTAGGAAGACAACAAATTTCAACTAGTGTAACAATGGATTCACAATTTTGGAGGAAAAGTCAATGAACATATTACTACTATTGGTTTACCACTTCTTCTTTATTTTTTTAAAATCAAAATACCTCCTCCTTCCCATTTTACACTAGACTCTTTTCTTTTTCTCAATATCTCAAAATATTTAACAACAATTTATTTAAATAATTTTAGAACTTTAGATAATTTAAAATTATTAAATCATTCAAATTTAAATTTGATATGATGCTTTTTCTTAACTAGATTTTTTAATATTATATTATATTAATATCGTAAACTTCATACTCATTCAAATATTTTTGCATAAATGGAATACAAGAATAATATATTGTGAAAAAATTATATCCAAGTTGATCAATTTTTAAACCTAAATTAGATATGAAATTAAAAAAATCAAAAATTTTAATATCTACAAATTATATAAAAATATTATTATGAGTTGTTATCTTTAATAAAACTAGAATTTGTCTTGCTAAGTCAGACAAAATAATTATATATTCTCCAAAGGAAGTTGGTACAATATAATACTTTTGAATTTAATTATTTGCTTGCCTCATTTCGACAATAATTGCATAAAACCTGTTTGTAATATCCACTCCACAAACATATATGCTAGTACTCAATTTCTTTTAGTTGTAAATTTGATGAAGTAAGAGAAGGAATATATAACAAAAGAGGGGTCAGGAAAGTAAAAAGAAGCACATATGAGTAGTGAATTTTCCTAATGGCAAAGCAGGAAGATAAGTCTAATAAATTCCTTAGTCTCTCTTATAAATTCCTTTGTCTCAACATTAATAGTCAGTGTTTTGACTAATGACTAGGAAAAGAATTTAGCCTAGTCACACACGAGTGGTCTTATCGCACCATGTTGGTTTCATCATATCATGATAGTGTAAAATAAAATAAAATAAAGTAAAGAGAGAGAGCCATAGTTCTAAAGCTACATTAGACTAGTAAATTACTACATTAACAAGATAATGGAGAATAGAAAATGGGCTACATGTGTGTATTATAAAAAGGGGGAAAAGAAGAGCAAGTTTTGGGTGACAGGTGTGGAAGAGCCAACCAAAAGAAGTGAGGGACCAAAGAACTTTGCTTGCAATTCCAGAATCAATAAAAGGGTGTGGGAATAGACCATTTCACACACAAGGGAGAAAATTAAACACCTTCTAATTGGGGCACAGCCATGATGTCACTATCCTCAACTACATGATTTTCTAAATTATCTTAATAACAGTCTGTTCACGCCAATATTATTTTCAAATACACACGAAAGTATATATGATTAACAAGTACTACAGTAACTTAAAGTATATCGAACTCATAGAGACATATGTTAATTACTCACTAATTCAACTAAAACTTTTTTTATCTAATTGAGTTCACCAAATTGAGAATTTTGTTATTAATCTTCTATTGCAAAAATTAAACAAGTAATAAAACTGCAAAAGTGAAAGATTATTGTTAAGAGTTGAATTAATATTCCAGCGTTGTGGCCGGTTCACCATCCCTATTGAGTTCTGATTATTCATCCTTAATCCAAATTACCGATGGTTGCTAATTAATCGAATTAAAATTAGTCACAGTATTCTCTCAAATTACTACTCGCCTACTCAGAATATTCCTATGAAATTAATAGATTAAAAATGCATTGAGATCATGGCATGTAATTAAGCGAGGTGACTAGGTATATTTCTGTTCTAACACAAATCTGCACTCTAATCATACGACTAAGATCATGCTCTCTTTAGCTCTTCTCTAATTTAAGAACGACTGTCACGACCCGAAAATCCCATCCTCGTAACCGTGACGGCGCCTAACATTTCACCTGCTAGGCAAGCCAACGTTAGAATAGTTTATCCATTTTCTTATATAGATCAAGTTAAATAATAAGAAAGAAATCGAAATAACTGAAATAAATTATGAAATAAAGTGCAGAAAATCATAACAACTGAAATATCTAATACAACCCCGAATCTGGTGTTACAAGTGCACGAGCTACTAGAAGTTCTACAAATGGAGTCTGAAATAAATACAATTGTTTCGAATGAAATGAACAGTAAAAGAGGAAAGTGGAAGGGGACTTCAAGGTCTGCGGATGTCAGCAGATCTACCTCAAGTCTCCGAATGTGATAATCTGAGATAGTGCACCTCACGTACAGCTGGGACCAATATCAAAATCTGCACAAGAAGTGCAGAGTGTAGTATGAGTACAACCGACTCAATGTACTCCGTAAGTGTCGAGCCTAATCTCGACGAGGTAGTGACGAGGCTATGACATGACACTCACGTAATTAAACATGTACAAACATAGATATATGTACCAAACAACAACAAATAGAGATTTACTATGTACGGTTGGGAGGGGACATGCGAAAAGGAGGCAACACAAGACATCCAAATAAATCATCAACCAATAAAGATGGATAAACATACGGAATAAAGATGGCACGATATCACCCTTCGTATTTTTACTCTTAACTTTACCATGAAATGAGGACATAAGTAGAATGAAATGGTACGGCATCACCCTTCATGCTTTTACTCTCGATTTGCCCATGTAACAATGAATAATTGATATAGATGGCATGACATCACCCTTCATGCTTTATCTCTCTTCCTCACTATGTATTAATCAATAAATGAAGTAATAAAATGGCACGACATCATCTTTCGTGCTTTAACACTCTCCCTTGCCATGTAGTAATGAATATAAAAATTCGGGAGATAAATAATACAAAGGATGTTCTTTACGTCAATAATGATTTCAAGATACCAAACCTCAACTTCCAAAATACTTAACAATCATAATTAATCCATAAATACGGAAGGAACGGTCAAATAAATAGTAATCTAATGTAAGCATGGATGTCATAATTAAAGAGGCAATAAATCACAAGGAAACAAGTTCTTCCCACATGCTTTAACCCAACAACAACGCATAAGTACTCGTCACCTCACATATATGTTATACCCACACATTAAGCACGTAGCAAATAGGCAAACAAGTCTTAATCCCTCACGTTAAGATTAACCACAACACTTACCTTGCTGCACAAGAAAATCAAAGCTATATCAGGGCCTTTCCTCTAAAATCTACCTCCAAATCAATCGAATCTAACCAAAATCGACTTAATAACATCAAATAATGCTAGGGAATTAAATTACAATACATAAAGTTAAGATCTTTACACTTTTTCCCAAAAGTCAACCCCAAGCTTGCTTGGTCAAAACCCGAGATTCAGACCAAAACCCATTTACCCATTCACCTCGAGCCCGATTGTGTAATTAGTTTCAAAATCCGACCCCAATTTGAGGTCTAAATTCTAAATTTGCAAAACCCCCCCAATTCTTTCCAAACCCCTAATTTTCTACCATGAAAGAACAAAGATTAAAGCTAGAAATTAATGAGTGGTGATAGAAATAAAAGAAAATGAGTTAAAGTATGCTAACCTATAAAAGGATGATGAATTTTCTCTTCCAAATCGCCTCTAGGCCGAGCTCTAATGGAAAGATGGTGAAAATGGGTAAAATCCCATTTTTTAGAAGTTTAAATGACTGGGCGTCAGGTGTTCATCGCGATCGCGAGACACCTGCCGCGTTCGCGAAGGATACTGCCCAATTGGCTTACGCGATTGCGAAATACTCTACGCGTTCGCGTAGGCTTAGCCCACCTTGCCTTCGCATTCGCGAGCCTGGGCTCGCGTTCGCGTAGAGTAAATCCATTTTCGAGCCCTTGCCTCTCTAATGCTACGCGTTCGCGATGGTGTGGTCGTGTTCGCGAAGGGCAGTCCCCCCCACCCCCACCCCACCTACTCCGCGTTCGCGACCAAAGCCTCGTGTTCGCATTGAGTAAAATCACCCCCAGACCCAAATACTCTTCGCGATCGCAGGAGTATCTTCGCGACCACGATCGCGAAGAAGCATGCACCAGAAACTAGTAGAAATCAAGAAAACCAGAATTTGTAAGTTCAAAATCATCCATAGCCTATCAGAAACTCGCCCGAACCTCGGGGTTCCAAACCAAACATGCACACAAGTCCAAAAATATCATACGAATTCGCTCGCGCAATCAAAACACCGAAATAACACCTAGAACTATAAATTAGATACCAAATCAATGAAATATTTTGAAGAAGCTTATGAGCTTTCATTTTAACAACCGGACGTCCGAATCACGTCAAATTAACTCCGTTTTGTACCAAATTTTGCAGACAAGTCATAAATACAGTAATGAACCTATACCAAGTTTCGGAACTCGAATCTGGACCCGGTAGCAACAAAGTTAAATTACGGTCAAACTTGAAATTTCTTAAAACCTCTAAACTTCTAGTTTTCAACAAATGTCGATAATTCGAGTTAGGGACTTCCGAATTCGATTCCGGGCATACGCCCAAGTCCCAAATTACGATATGGACCCATCAGGATATTTAAAATACTGATCCGGGTCTGTCTGCTCAAAACGTTGATCGAAGTCAACTCAAATGAGTTTTAAGCCACGATTTCACATTTGTTTATCAAATTTTCACATAAAAACCTTCCAGAAAAGGACACGGACTGCACACGTAAATCAAAAAAGACTAAATGGAGCTAGTCGAGATCTCAAAATACAGAAATGAAGGTTAAATCTATAAATAACCTATCGGATCATCACACCCACTTTGTTAAGCATAACCTAGATAGTAAATAGAATTTAATTATTGTCCAGACTATTAACCAATTACGCACAAAATTAAAATAACAATCATATAATGTTAATTCATATTAAAAGAGAAAAAATTGTTATACTTTAATATTCATGGCTAACCACAACCGAGAAATAAAAAAATTAGCCACGCATAGCTGTCACCTCAAAACAATTGTAGAAATTCATAACTAATAAAGAAAATAAAGAAAGAGAAACTCGTCGTCGAATCCCTTTTGCATTCGGTTATTCCCCTCCGAAAGACATTTCT